TGTGTGTGTGTGTGTGTGTGTGTGTGTGTGTGTGTGTGTGTGGTTTTAGTATGCTTTTCGATGGATTTCTCCATTAATACTCCAAATAAGAAGAGAGACGTCACGGCGAGGCCCGATCACGAATCAGTTGTGAAAATTCGCAATTATTATTTTTCCGAAAAATATCACCTCAGCCAGGAATCGAACCTGGATCTCCCGCTTACCGGGCAGGCATCTTATCCTTTCGATTACAGAGGCATGGTATTTATCGCAATAACGCGTTTAGAACAACACGTAAACAATTAAATGTCATACACATATATACATATATGCATTTATGATTCTCGAATCCTCACGACCGGTACTCCAAAGCGATATTGGCCTCTCACTGATTTGCGAGGGGCGTATCATTCTAAAATAAGATTTTTGCTAACATTTCGAGAGAGAGAAACTATTGTCAAATTACTTCTTTTATTTCCTATTTTTGAAAACTTTACATTTTTCCTTTAGGCAGTTTACACAGCAGAAGATTTATTTCAAGAGATTTTATTTTAGATAGATTCTACAATTTGTTTACGCCACGCGAAGAGAATTTTTCATGGAAATGTCTGTATCCAAAAATGAAAAGACAGATAAACTCAGATTTGATGGTGATGAGAGGAGCCGGCGGGGGGGGGGGGCTTTGCGAAAAATCTCTGAAAAATTCTAATTACTTTGCTACTCGGCATGGAACTCGGACGGAAGGGCCGTTTTCACGCGGCGCACATTTTTCGCTCGTGGAACGAAGTGTAAACGCAAAATTGTTCCTTCGCGAGCGAGCAAAACGAAGAGAATGCGGTATGCATCGCATGTCGCGCGCCGTATAATTAAGCCGCGATATTTCCACCGAATACAAAACATGCAATTATCTCATCTGGATTACAGTACCGCGCTCCCTGATACCGAAACCTACGTACATTGTATGGCGGCTCGCGAGTAAGATACCGCCCGGCTGGTCGCTGCAATTTTCTGTTCCTTAGTTTCTAGAAGACGGAGCGAAGGGGGTATGCACGAGATATAATTACGGATGCAGCCATTGAAGTTGAGTTAACCGCTAGCGCCGTGAATGCAAAATACGTGCGTAGTTGAGGACTTATTTCAAGCACGCAAGTACGAAACTCCGAGTGTCCGAGACGCGTCTCTTAATTAACGCTCCGCAGGGAGAACGAAGAAATTCCATTTTATAGATTCAAAGAAATTTATCTTTTGAAATGATGCGAGCAAACCATTTATTGATTCAACAAAATCCGATCGTTTTTCAAACAATAAATAGCCGTATTTTAAAGTATTTTGTTTAATAAATTGTTTGAAAAAAAATAACGCTCTTTATTATAACGCTTCAATATTAAAAAAAAAAATCTCTTTCTTTCATTGAAACAATATTTAATCTAGTCAAAGCGTTATGATGAAACAAAGTATTATTTAGTATTTCAGAGATAAATTTTCTTTCCTTTAAATAATAGTGTTCTTTCTATTCTATAGCCAACATGGTATACTCTAACGAAACAAGAAAAATTCTTAATTCAACAAAATGATTATAAAATTATGTGGTTATTAAATTAAATAAATTCAACTCAAGCAAATAGAATCGCGAGAGATCTAAAAGAAGTTTTTTCTCAGTGATTCTTTATTCACATTATATCCCATCGCAGCAACCTGAAAAATCATTTGCAATTTGCAGCCGCAAATGTTGATAAATAAATATAATCGCAGCGTGTCGTAATTAAATGTTCTTTCTCTATTACAATCAGGTTTTCTACATGTTAATAGACCGTGAAAAAAAAAAAATAAAAAAATTAAAAGTTGTTGAGAAAGAATACGAGAGGCGCAGCTGTGTCGTCGCGTGTTTCTGCGTTCGTAGAAGCAGCTGCCACAGGCACAACGCACAGGGGATCTATTTTAATCCTTGCCGCAAGAATCACGTCGCACACGAGGACGAGCTGCGACGAGTTTTTGCGAAAACCTCATATTTCTCGCGGTGCTCCTTTCATTCCGCGAGCGCCGTCGACACAACTGGCGATCACTCTGCATTTAAACGCATAGCGCGCGCACACACACCTCCCAGAACTCGTCTCATTTTTTTTTTCCTATTTAAATAATAAAAGAGAACTCGTTTTCTTGTCGCGTCCTTCTTTCAGACTCTCTTGCCAATCGAGAATGTAAGGAGGATCATTGATGCTTTGTTAATCAGCAAGGCATCGATTTTCCGATTAATAACACAACTTAGCGGTCTACATAAGATGGAGGGGGAGGTGTATAATTTAAGTTTCTAGAAAAAAAAAACTTGTTATCCAATGATTTATGTCGCGCTCAGTAATCGAATAGTTATTTCATTAAAGATTTTTTTTGTACTTTTTAGACATAACGTTAAGATTACAATAAATAATATCAGTGTTAAAACATTGAAAGTTATTTGCGGATAGATAATAAGGCTCATTTGATAATTTAGCAAATTTATTTATTTTCTCAACATAAATTAATTTTGATCTTGGTTTAATTTATTCCAAAAAAAAAAAAAAAAAAAAACTAAGAAAAAGTTAAGAGTAAGTTAAATCGAGATTAAAGCTAATCTACAATGATGAAAATAAGCGTAACACCATCAGATGAGATATGCGTAATGCCGACGATACGCAATTTCGGATCTATATTCTAACCGATTTCGTCGTACAATGCAACTCTCGATCGTGCGTGCGAGATACATCTGAAGACTTCATCGTTAAGATCGAAAAACAGCGAATTCTCTTCCGCACGAACGAATTCACACCCGATAAGTCAACTGCGCATGACTGCGTCGAACATCCGCCTGTTGCGTCGCGCGACTTCCCTTTACGGTTGCCGTAAATTAATTTTCACGCCAAGCCGGTCACATCACGAATGAAACTTACAAAGTGGTGCACGTCCGAATAATCGCGATTCCGATCGGAAATCGATCGGAATTTTATCTTAATTTTTTAAGAGAAGCGAACGCAATTTACCAAAAAAAATATATTGTAATTTCGCATGCAGTCGTCGATAATCGCAGCATTGTAAAGACTCGAGCTGCGCTCAATGAACGTTGCGTCAATGGACGTTTTTCTTACGACGAGATAAAAAAAGAAAACGTGAACGAGAAAATGCGTAAGCCAATTGCAAAAGAGATCAATTCAAACACGCTTTTCAAACGCGCCTTTTTCCGCCTGCCTGCCGGATACGTTTTTTTTCTTTTTTTTTTTAATAGACCTCCTGGACGAATTTGCACTTTGTTCGATATGAAAAATCTCCCGTGGCATCTCGATTTCTGAGAGCGCGTGCGTCAGTGGAGAAATAAAATGGAAAATAAACGGCGAAGAATGGCCGTCGCTGGCATAAATTATCGGTCGCTCGCGAGCGTATTATTCCGCGGAATTAATTTCATGCGTGTAGAAACACGTGTTGCACCGCCGCGCGTGCACCGCCTTTTACTCGTAACACCTCGGCGAGGAGGAAGTCTTTTTTTCAGCCCGTCGCTTAATCGCCTCTTTCGTTTCGCCTTTGCAGGATGGTGCTGGTGGTGGGCGGGGTGGTCCTGCAGGAAGAGATTCCCGTGGACAGCAGGTCCTTGTACGCGACGCATCCGATATACCGCGAGAGCGCGGCTCAGCTACACTCGATACCGGCGAAACTCGTGGGCCCGGCGGGTCTTCTCTACGTTCAACAACGAGAAATGGCTGCGACTTTGCCACATGACAGTAAGTATCTCGAGCGTCTCTCTCTCTCTCTTTCTCTCTCGAGCTCGGATTCGAGAAAACGAATGCAAATGAACACGAACGTATGACTTGCTCCGAAATGAATTCAAATGGCGCCATCGGCGCACAATCAAATTCATTCGCATTTGTTCGCATTTGTTCTCTGAGAATGTATTACGCCAATTTTTATATCTACAATTATGAAAAAATTATGAAAAAATTATTCAGATTATTCTAGATTGCGTGTAAAGGTAATACAAAATTTTACGGCGATTTAGAACCCGGATTAAAATTATTTAAATAAATAAGTAGAAGCGTGCTCTAATGGAGATATAATTAAGAAATAATGAAAAAATCTAATTTTTTTTTATATAAATATTTCAAGTATTTCACATTATTTTTGTAAAGTTTCACTGCGATGCAGAGATTGATTGTTCTGGAAATAAAAAATTATTTTACTTGTATCACCACTCATTTCGTTTATACTCTTAATAAAAATAAATTTTATGTTGAGATAATTACATTATTGATCAAGATGATTTTTTTCTTAATTATATGTTTCTCTGTTAATTATCTTATCAAGATGTACACGTTCCCTAATGACTTGAGAATAAAAGAAATAGTAATTAATACGATATAATATTTTGAAGTTACAATATTAATTAATAGGATAGACATTTTGAAGTTATAATTTTTATATAGTTAAAGAATATAAATAAAAATAAATTTTAGTTTTTCGCCGTTCATATATTGAGCGTATCTATTTTTTTTCTTAAATTAAATTATATCTCGCAATTTACTTCTTTTCAAATATTTATTATCTTTATATTTATTAGACACAAAAATTGATGCATTACGTGTGTGAATATAATGAGCTCCAATCTGTGAGTTCGCCAAGTGATCCAATTGATCGAGATCAGTCATCTCGTACGGAGCACAATCTTTTTGAAAAACAATGTCTTGTGGTACATCTATCGAGAGAATATGTTAATGATGCAATAGTCAGACGGTCTCCATGTTATCTCTTAAAGAGATATCAAACGTTACCGGCTAATTCTGCTGCAATATCACGGGATTGACGCAAGTCTATCCGTTGCGATTACACTTAATTATGAAAATAAAAATATAATCATACGAGCGATAAGTCGACAGATGCTGAGCATTACTATGCGTGTTATCGGATAACTGTAAATTACGATTCAATTTTTCGGATGTCATGCTCAAAAAATAAAGAAGGCTCATTATTGTAACCGTGACGACAACGATAAATTTTGTAATGAACCATAATCTTGTCACGTTGTTTCGTTAAATCACAAGAGGAACCTGATAATATTTCACAATGTTTTTTATCTTTTTCTTGGAATATTAAATCTTTATTAACGATTTTACCAACAAATAAGAAATTAATATTATTGTAAATCATTGAAAAGCGATCGATATTGTCGTGTGTATAATCGTATTTAAAGTGAATTATATATGTTATCCATTTTCTTAGAAAAAAAAAAATTACTTGTTCTAAATTTTACTTAGTTTTTTTTTTTTCTTTTTTTTTTTTTTTTTTTTTTTTTTTTTTTTTTTTTTTGAGATCGTATAATAAATACTATTTGATAAAATGAAGCAAGTTCAATCTAATTTAAGAATAATAAGAATATGAAATAAAAGGATTGCTTTTTCAACTAATGAGAAAACCTAGCTTTTGTGAAATAACGGTCGGTGGAAGTACGCGCGCGTTGGTGGAATAAACAAAAATTTACCTTATATAATTATGGAAAGTTCCCGCCGTATCGAGGAATAATCCTAACAATCCATGGCCTTTCGAAACCCCCTCGTATTCGCTCGTTGTTATACCGATTATTCTTTTTTCCTTTCACAGAGAACGTGAGCATCCTCGGTTCGGACGACATGACCACATGCATAATCGTTATCGTCAGGCATTCTGGTGAGTATATTTGAAAGTACAATCGTGCTTATTATAAAAATAGTCGTCGGTTGCATATAAATGATCGCTCGTGGCACGACAATGAAGAAAAAAAAAAAAAAAAAAAAGAAGGTCGGAGATGAAGCATGATTATCTGACTGATATCAGATCGTCGTTAAAAAATATTGAATATTTGAAATATATGAAATTCACGATATTCTTTTATTTCTCGATATATACGTCAGATTATTAAGCAATGTTAAAAGTGAAATTTCTTTGTAGTGAAGGGAAGAATATGTGGAAAGTTTTTTTTCTTATATTTTTATATTACACACCATATAACGAAACGAATTGGATTGAATTTTTGAGAAAGTTAATTAAATTTGGAAAAATTAATTAATATTCAAGTTTATTTAATAAACATTAGGAGCTTTATTGATATATAGATTTTCATTTTTTATATCTAATCAATTTTATTGAACCAAATTATTGTTCTGTACAATTTTAGATATAAAAAAAAATGAGTTTTAAATTAATTTAAGATAATAAACTAATGTATATCTCCAAAATATCTAGGAAATTATAATTTGAAAGTAATATTGCGAGAAAGATATTAAAAAACTTCAGTATAAAATTTTACGAGCAGAAAAAAAATAAGCGAAGAATCGTCGAAGAAAAAAGAGACTGGATCTAATCGCAATCTGCCTGTCTCGAAAATTAGCGAGGCTAACGAGCAAAAACTTGCGAAAAATATCAATAAAGTCGAGAACTGTGACGCTCGTGATCATTTCTAGGCTCTCCGTTATACCGCTTTTTATTTCTTTTGTGCAGGCATACAATAGATTTCTCGTTCGCACGATCGTTGACTCCTTCATGATATAACGATTAACGTAACGCGCAAAATACGAAACATCACTTCTTTCAAAAAGACGAGCCACTTAATAGAACCAGTTCCGCCACTCGAGCTCGAAGGAAAAAGTGCTGATTCAGCTTACGATTCATGCTCATATCACGAAGTCATTTAAATGCCTTGCTAATCCTACGATATCAGCTTTAAAGAGCGTCGAGCAAATAAATGCGATTTATGGCTTATGAAACACGACACACTATTTTCCATTTCATTGTCAATATTATTAAAGGGCAAACAAAATTATATTAACTATAATTATACATGTCATTGCATTAAAAGGACTTATTACAATTATTATAAAACATTATTTTTTGATAAATGACGAATGACGTGACCTTTTCATAGATTGTTACCTTTAATGGATGTGTACTTCTTAAATTTTTTGAATGGATGCTGCATTTTATCGCGCATGAAGGAAAACCTCTATCGCGTTGTATTATATTTCTCAATGGGACTATCGAAGTTCCCCTTAGCTTTCTCTTGCTAACGCGAGTGCATCACGACGCAAGATTGGGTGTCTCCGATCGTCTTGAGGTTGCACGTGAATGATGGCCGCGGTAGAAAGCGACTGCGAAAGTACGTAATTAAGTAACAGTTCGCGATATAAAAAGATCTTTTATCGCAAGTTCGCCTCGTCCGTTGTCTCGCATTCGCGCCTAGATGACAATTGGCCTAGAATTAATTCTTATCAAAATTAATTATTATTATTATTATCGTTGCAATTAATTAAATAAAAATGTACAAGCTAGAGATACTTTTGTTGGTATGTTAATTACATTTCCGAGAATTCGTTCGTTCTAACATTTTAAGAAACGTCTCCAATCGTTACTGTTCCACTTCAATCTTATCGCCAAGACGACGCTAAGTCGCATCTAACGAACCGTGATCGACCCTAGAAACTCTTAGAGATATATTTCACGCTGAATTTCAGTGCATCGTGAATGCTTTTAATCGCTGTCCGTTAATACGACGACGTAATGAACGGTGAGAGAACCGAAATGTTAACTTGCGGTAATTATCAGGCTGCAGTAATTACCGGTAACGATATGAAAACATTAATTTCCCTTTTAATGGTATATTCTTTCCGGGAAAGGCGTAATGAGCAGCTACTAAAAAGATAATTGCACAAAATAACAAGAATCTCCCATTTTAATATTTTTCTCTTCACTTCAGTCATTAAACTTATTCTGATCAATAAAATATAAATAGTAATAGTAATGAAAAATTAATAAAAATAATACAAAGTTCTGTTGCATTGAGACTAACTTTGGCCCGAAACTGATTAAACCGGACAGAAAACTAATTAAAAACTGATTAAAACTATCCAATTAGTCAAAAGCATCGTCCAAACTAATCAGAATCTAATCAACTAGCTAGTAACTACAATTCCAGACTTTCTTCAGTTTCTAGTTTGTTTTCCATTTGAGTAAACATTGTTATGTTAAAAATAATATATACATTTTTTATACTCAAACATAACTTTAATATAAACGATGCTTAGTATATGTTTTACGCATAGTTTAACTTTTTTTATAATATAATTTTTGTATAATTTATTAATATATAATTTTTGCAATTTACTTTTACTACTATACTATTACTACTATATTATAATTATAATTATTTTGGTACTATACAATTATTATAATTTAATACAATTTAATTTAATTAAATAATAATTTTGTTTGTTATGATAAATAATTAATTTGTATTTAGTACCATGAGAATTTCAAATGTTGAATTTTAGGCTCGGGCGCCACCGCATTAGCGCATCTGGACGGATCTGGAACGGAAGATGCTGCGGCCGCAATGATCCAGAGGGTAACGGAACTTGCCGGCGAATTTATCGGAGGTCGCCTAGAATTGCAACTGGTCGGCGGCTACTCCGACCCGAGAAATTACTCCGAGGAATTATTCTACAATATACTTTGTACGTGAAAAATCTACGTTCAATACAACATTGTTATTGTGGAGAAAAAAAAAGTGCAGAATTTTACCTTTATATATAAACTTTATTTTACTTTTATATATAAATTTGATGTATTTTTATATATAAACTGGAATCATTGTCTATCGTTCTTATCTTACTTATCCCGAACGATCGTCTTCCAGCCGCGTTTCACAAGCAACCGGTGGAGATCGACCTAACTCTATGCTGCGTGGGCGAGCTGAATACCACCGTGAGAGGTGGGATTCATTGGCCGTTGATCTACGGTATCGGGCTGAACATAAAGACGGGCGAGATCTTTCCCGCGACTTTCCCCGACAAAGGCCCAGATCAGGCACTGAGGAGCGCCAGACAATTGACCGGGGGTCAACAGGTGCGTGTATGCAACGCTTGCATTAGCGATATTTTATTTGTACCTGTTTTAACTGTGAGAGACTAATGGCTTTTATACGTAAACAAAAAGGAGCTGCTCGTACGACATCGAATTGCTGCTTGATCTCAATTTGTAAATCAAAAGTCAAGTTATTAATCGATCAAACGCGACGTCGAATTTTATTTGCGCCTTTTGTCAAGTGATTTGATACGTGTTATATCCCAATTATTTGCTACAGGTTCTGGATATATACGATTGCAATCTGGGATTACTTAGAATCGGTCCGTTTAATTACGATCCTCTGCGTGGCGTGGATCTCTGGCTGGCGCAATCCGATCAGTTCATCTTGCAGCATCTGTCTACGTCACCGGAAGTGGAGCAACCACATTTCGTGCAGCAGGTAATGTTATTTGAAATTCCGTGCGATTTATTATTGTTATTAGATCCTCGGAGAGACCATGAGAAAAAATTAAGTTAAGCGATAAATTCAATTACCTCTCGCATTATTAAAGCGACGAAATTTCTGTTTTAGGTGCGGGCAACGCTCAAGTACATCCAGGATAATCAATTTCCAGCCGTCACGGTCTTTCGTGATAATAGACCGCACTATTATGGTCGGGACGAAACTTCCGGTTTATGGCAGCCAGTGCGATACTAAAGCTTCTATAAACCGCAGATTAGGTTAGGGCTTGCCTAATGGTTGTTCGCAAAATTTTCAAGCGATATGAAGTATAATATTAAATCACGGATTGACAAAAGATATGGAGCAGGACGATTAATTAGGAATTTAAATCAATTAATCGAATTTGGTACTGCATCTTTTGAAAATCGCGATGTCTTCGAGACGTTTAAGCTCTAATGAGTCCATTTGAAAAAGATCGACTCGCATTTACGATTGGCGAGCAAATAGCGGAAGTCGGCGTGCAATAATTGCAACCTTCGTCGGGTGGCAATTATCTGTGATCGACGAGAAAAGGATGTTTGGGATGATCGGGAGGAAGCCGTGGTATCGAGTATTGATTGGAAGTGGTCGTAATCAAAATGCTGGTTGATGCCTTAAGGCCTGCTCACACTGGAAGACGTCTCGCGAGTATTGAAGCCGAGATGCGGATTAATATTTGAATATGCATTATCGAATGCGATTTGTAATATTTACAAATAAAATAAAATAATGTAGTTTACTCTATTATTATTAAAGTATACATTTTATGATAATAGAATAAGCTATGGAGAAAGCAAAATAAAAATAATTTTTTGACAATTTTCTGAAAATTTTAATATGTATTAATCTGTATTTAAATGCAGATATAATACATATTTTACGTTTTATATATATTCAACGTTTTTATAACATAATAGTTAAAACAATTTTTTTTGTCGTGCAGAAAATTGCAGAAAATTTTAGATGATTTTATTGAAATTGCTTTATATAAATTTTTACAAAGCAAGAAATTAAGATCCAATTTGATTTTCAATTAAGAAGTGAAAATAAGAATCTTTAAAAAAATATTTAATAACAATACAAGCCAGATATTGATGCTTAAACAGTCTTTTAAAGACATTAAATATCTAAATTTTTTTTACTATCTATGAATTATCATTAAAAATTCCATAAATAAAAAAATGTTATAGCCTAAATGATTGAACTAGCAATCGAACTTCGATCTTTCGCTTGCCAATAACTCTTCTTTTATGATTTAAAAACTATATTTTATACTACATTGAAAAATTGTATAAAAAAGAGAATATTATTTTATAAAACACGCACATACAAATACTTTTTTTTCTCTATTTCATATACATTTCATATACATTCTGAATATATTTAAAAAATAAAACGCATATACGTATATTAGCACGCAGCGCACGACAACTTCAGTTGTGAATAGGCCTATACATGCTGAATATATTGGCATTCTTGAAATTTATCTTTATCTAGATGCTTTTATTACTATATACAACAGTTGAATTTTAATCATTACTATAAGTTGTTGTTAGTCGTACGTGATCGTTATTCGATCATTAAATGTTCTCTCCGTATTAATTTTCTTCTCTAGCCTAGAGCGAGAAAGTAATATCGCGCATTTAGCACTAAATACAACTCATTTTCATCTTTACATTACGTGCAATCATATATTAGATAACTAACTCAATCGTAAAGAATTACATTTGGTGCTAAACGCGCGACCAAAGCACGGTTCTATACACACGAGCGTAAGATTACACGAGGAACACTTGTCCTTCTTCTTTTTCCTTTCTGTTTTGTTTTTTTTTTCAGCTGGATTGCGAAAGTTCGAGCAACGAATAATTCCGTACTTGCCATAATGAAAGAAAAAAAGTTAGATGAGAGATAGAGGCGAAGTAGGAAAGATGATGTATATAATATTTTCAGGGTTGTGCCCGAGTCTTTCGGGTGAGGGAAAGTTCCTTTGCCTCGATGCAGTTAGTTTCCGCGAGGAAATGCGAAACTAACTGAATCCCTCCGAAAATCCATGCGAAAATTAATTGATTGTGTATAAGCCATTTGATGTCTCGCGAGAATCGTGTGTACTTCATCTTTACGTACAATCATATTAGATAACTAACTCGAGCGTAAAGAATTATATTTGGTGTACTAAACGTACGATCAAAGTACATATCGAAAAAAAGATGTCTCTTTTAATTCTTTGGAACGCTCGCGGGACATTTGGGCGATCGCGTTTAATTATGATTTATAATGTAGGATAGATATTCAAGGAATAACATTTCTCGTTGCATCTTCAAATGATTTAAACGCGCGAGATCGATGCGAGCAGAAATTTGTCGAGATTATATAATACACAAATGCATACTAGGATGCTACAATTTGGTCACGTCGGCGGTTTGAAACATCCGATATAGATTTTGCTGTTCGTTGTTAGAAAGTATGAGCGTGCGATCGCGATCGAAGAATCAAAATAACGAGGCCTTCCTTCCCTTACCTGTGGATTCATCGATTAAGAAAGGTAAATCACCCTCCGGATAGCGTTCGAGAGCATAACTCTAAAGTAGCCAGGATTATCAGTCAAAGGATTATCTCATATCTCAAAGCTTGAATACAATTTTCACGAAAGAATTCAGAAATTCAATACTTTAACAATTATCATTAAATATTCTTATCCCTTTTGGGGTGAATATACGGTGAGAATGTATGTGTTCTTTTAAGATACTCCAAGCGAGGAGAAAAATTTAAAGTTATGGCCTCGAAGCCTCGGAGTAGTAATGGAAGGGTGCGTTCACGATTTTCCATTGTTCTAGTGATACGTAAGCTGATTGAGGTTGATATTAATAATAATGAATGATAATGATCGTAATGATACTAGGATTGAGATGATGTCCTAGAAATCGAAGAGATATATTTTTACTATATTACGTAAAAAAAAAAAAAGAAAAAAAGAGCGAATGCACTCGCGCGTGACGATGAAGCTCTCAGGATCGAACTTGCGACCTACTTTTCCTTCCCTTCGATCTACGCGAATAGAGAAAGTGTAGCGGGTGATTTACCGCTTACTTTGTTGCTTCTGCCAGGAAAATATACGGCTTTTCTTGCTTGCGTCATGAAAACTTCCCGGTGCAGCAATACAAGTTACATATATATTTTTTTCTCTCATTGTTTTTAAGTCCTTCGTATTATCTTCGCTTTTCCCGCCCAAAACCTTCTCCCCCTCCCTCCCCCCTTTCCTCCCGTTCCTTCCGCGATAGCCGTTCGGTTTCGATCTTTATCGCATTCTTTTTCGCGTTGCGCAAACGCAACTTACTACATAATATTATTTGGTGATATATTTATACGCAAATAAACGATGATAGACTAAAGCAACACCGTGTACATTATTTTGCAATATCGCATAAGGTTGGATGCTTGAGATGACAGCCGCAACCGATCTTGATCTATCATATTGAATGTAATGCCCACACTCAACCGATCTCTCGTGATTTCCATGATAAATGATTCTTCGCGGCCAATCTAATCGCGATATGCTCGCGAATAGCACGCGATTCTATAGGATCAACTCGTTGAAACCACCGGACGTAGACACTGGTAACAACATCGTTAACAAAGTTGCAGATTGTTGCAGCGTGTAACGGTGAGCCATTACGTAAGTAAACCACGAGAAGAAAGGAGCATTTCGTGCATTACTACGGCTCTGATTATTAAATATCGATTAATTGGCTGAAGAAAGCCACGTAACGATCATTTAAATGTAGAAAAAAATGGAAAAAAGAAAAAAAAAATAGAACTCACGGAAGCTATAATAATAAAGTTGTTCATATCTCAATTTTGTAATTATGAGGATATAATATGTAATTTCCTTGTAATTATGGTTAATATTGTAAATAATTTGCAAATAATGAAGATAAGAAAATTAATTAAATAAAATAAAATGTTATAGATGCATTGTTTTCAATTGAAGGAACCACTTGAGATTTGCGGCTTTTAATTATAATATTTAATTCGCGGATTCTTGTATAAGTTTAAAATTCGTGTATTTGTGATAGAAATTTTCTATATATTGCGCAACTTTCAAGAACACTGCATGTATAATTTTGTTGAACATTAACAGCTTGTTGCATGCACGTGGGCATGCTTATATCTTGGCAGATGTATGAGAAGCTTCTCGATTTCTTCAGCAGGAGGAAACTTGCATTCAGAAAGTTCGCTTTGAACGACTTTAACTCGTTTCCCAACATGCCTCACTTCAGCACAGAATCCGAAATCTGCAACGAGAAGTTGATAATTGCGTTGAAAGATGATCATCCGGAAATAATATTCTCGTGCCTGGAATTCTGGGAAGTAATTCCGAGCTTTTGCATAATGCATCGACTGAGTCGCATGAGAAGAGTCTTTGTCAGTATCTTCAAATACTATTTACAAAACTATTTACTTTACACGATTACACGCCACGACAAATTACGTTAATATGAAGCGAGATTGAACGCGTAAAATAATAATGTATTTTTACGAACGAAAAAGATATCGAAATCCGCCGAAATATAAATATCAAAGAGATTACAATTAATAAATATAAATATAAATAAATATATTCTCATCAGGTAAAGGAAATCTAGTATCATTAAATTATCATTGATAATGCACACCGAAGTAAAGAGTGCGGCATTAAAACGTCGCTTGTTTTACACCGCAGAAAATCAAGAAAATTTCATTTTTCAAAAAAATGTATTTTAGCACAGCTAAAATTATCTTTGGACATCACATGTAAAAACATTTCTTCCACTTCTTTCAACAGCTGTCAAATCGTGTGTTTTCTGCCCGAATAGGCTTCATTTCACGTGCCCTTTACAGCTATTTATTGACTATCGGGAAGAGAAAGGATAGTAGCCACCCATTTTCGCAAGTGTCTTAAAGCCAGGTATTATTTTAATCAAATATTTCTTTATTTGCAAAATTAGCGCAATAAACTTTACTGTGTCACTTCTCGCCTATGACGTTACGATTCCAATATGGTACTCAATAGGATTGCCATCCATCCTTTTTTCCCCCGAACACTGTCCTCTTTTTTAAGATATCCCGGGGGATTTTTTGAAAACGGGGGAATCCGGGGTTTCAAAAAAGCTTCTAAATATTTTGTTTTGATTCCTCTCGCATTACTTTGTATTGTAGCACAAATAGCACAGGTATCACAAAGAGTTAAACTTTTTGTTTAATTTTAATACCCAATAAAACTTAAACTATACCTATAATAAAACTTATTTTTAATCAAAAGTCTGTATTTATTTATTTTTTAATTCAAATTTCTCTCTGCTCTAAATGAACTAATGAACAATTAGATGTAAAATAATGATTCATTTACTGCTCTCTAATCAATTTTATTAATTTGAGCGCATTTTTTTTATATACGTCCGGAGTTGCAGCCGAAATGTTTTTAACTTGTAAGTCCTAGCCCTTTTGAAAATTTAATATGGCAACCCTATTACTCAGGAGTATACCTCTTAATTATCGAACATTCTGTATCTTTCGAATTTGAAGAGAAAGGGAGAAAAAAGGAATCACCAGGAAAGAAAGTGAAAAGAGAAGTAGGAAAAAGAGTTGTATAGAGAGCCCGCGGGCGTCAAGTAGTAACGAACGATGCCGCGCAGACTCCTCGCAAGTGACTCGGTCAGACTCGCAGTAGTTCGCGTCAAGCACTTGATCCGACACGGTCAGTGCCGTTCCGTCGTCGGCTCAACGACGTCCCTCTCCGCGTTTTCCCTCTGTCGCGGTCGCACCACGTTTTCGGCAATTGCATTTCGAGGGGGCTCCGTAACGAACGAACGTTCCTTCCTTCACGGTGAGTTTTATCACGTTCCTCCGAATACACGCTTTTCCAAACTGTCTCAAAGACCTCCCGAAACTTTAGTTTCAAAAGTAACATAAGCTACTTTGATTAGATTCGGTGTATTTTGTTGCGTTCTGAAGAAACTTTCAATTTGTTCATCAGTTTTTTCTCTTTTCCTCTTTGTTCTGTGAAAAAAATCATAGTGTCGAAATGAAAAAAACAAATAACATTTGTGTTTTTAAATGTATTAACGAATATACGCCCTATTATTCTTTTAAGCCATTTTTTTACGCAATAAAATAATTTGAATATGGTAATAATAGAATTGCATTTTTAAAAATATAATTAAATACAAATTTCAGTAATTCAATAATTGAATTAGAATTAAGGAATTTTCTTCTATACTTTTTTTTTTAATGTAAGTTCTAATTTGAATTTTATAAATAATTTGAAAACAGATAAGAAATAAAATTTTAATATGAGGAATAAACAAAGTTAATTATACCTTTAATTACACATTTTGGCTTATGACAACATATTTCGACGCGTCACAAAATTATGTATTATTTAATTCAAATTAATAAATGTAATTAACGAAAACAATACTAGCTTTTTGAAAATAATATTAATATGTGCATTAAATATTATATTTAGATCTGTATTAACGTAAAATTTTTTCTTTATAAAACTATGAAGAGATGTGACGCATTTGCTTATTTATCTCAATTTACATTAACTATATTTTGGTGTAATAATATAAATAATAGAAGGAGCATTGTAAAAGTAATTACCAAGTTCGAAAGTCCGTGCGTCGAATTGTATGCGCGTGACTCTAAATTCCCGCTTCTGTATTCATTGAGCGACGAGCAAGTGATATCATTACGGACTTCCACAATTGACAATAGTAAATGTATTACATCGAAAGCAACTATTTCTTGTAAATGACATAGAAGAAGTATATAAAATTACGAAACATCTTACAGCAATATGAAAGATAATTTCGCAATCTGACTTTTTGGATAGTAAAACGACGAAACAGAAACAGCGAAAAGTCAAGCAGAAAGATAAATGATAAATAAGAAATTCTTTTTAGCAGAAGAAATTAATTAATTCTTTTCCATCAAATTAAACAACTCCTCAGAAAGACTTTTTCTAAATAACGAATTTTCATCAGAAGAATTAATTAATAAATCTCACAATTCTACGTATTTATATTAAATGTAAATATATTGAATATTTTAAAAGTCTCTGTAATATATATCGTTTATATTTTGCATGTATCCAATGTTTTTTAATATTTATTAAATCAATGATATAAAAAATAAGAGGACAAAGTGAAATGAAGATTTAAACGTTAAAATTTCTATATCCGAAAATGGCGAAATTAACGATTTCCCGAGAAGTCCTTCAGCTTGTCCTTCTTGTAGATAGTATTAATTCCTGAGTACACGTTAATAATCGATATCTCTCGAGAGATAAGGAGAAAATCGTGGAAAGCGAATTGTCGATCGCTGGCGAAATATCGCTCGTAATTTGCTGGTGCTGGTCTTGACTAATTACAAATGTTCGTGACGCGAGATCATAATCGACCGCCCCGTTTCTTGGAAACGCGAACAGGAAGTTTCTGCTGATTTAACTTCCGCTTTCAACCGATATATTCTTGGAAGAAAAGTGAAGGTTGATGAACGAAGAAACGATTTAAAACGTCAGCACGATGAGGGAAATGTGCTACTTTAAATTAAATGGGATTATAAAGTGTTCGTGTTCGATAATGGTATTTATCGCGGTATTTATCGCGCGTTTCTCCTTACAAATTAAAACATGAATACTAAACAGACACCACTCTAAATTACAATTCTGAATTAAAAACAAAGGGTTTGTTATAAATTAAATTTTAGGTAAGAAAATATACCAATGTTCGCTTCATATGAATTCTTTTCTTCAATGAATTCTACTTTAATAGCATCTTAATTTAAAGCTTTTTAAAGATATAACAGAGCTTTGATAGTAGAAATAAAAAAAAAAATACAGGAAGAAGGAAAATGAAATCTGATTGAAGTTTAGAGAAAGAGGGATAGCTTTCGAGCGTGATTCAAGAAGGTGCTGCACACTTCCGAAAGATTTTTTATACAACAAATAATTGTATGCTTTTTTAATAAATGCGTACCTGCAGTGTAAAGTCCGAGAGAAAGTGCCTCAGATAAAGTTGTTCATAAAAAACGATATTACTCTCCTAAAGTCTGGCGTGTTACATTAGAATAAACTTTCATCTGATCTCGTGATACGAACATACAGACATGTTAATGAGGAAAAGGTTGCGCAAAAAAAGGAGGATAATATTTTTAACATACCGCACGAAGTGCGGTCTTTGGCTAATGCAATTTCCGCTCTAATGCAATCTTCGCGATTTGACGGGCGTGCGAATGGAATTATGTGTGGCGAAATCTGTGCGGAGGAAGCGTATTGTGCGGATCCTGTGTACCTCCGAGTGTAAATCATAATGATCGATAATGGTTCCTCGTGATTTAATAGAGCCTTTGCCCAAAATGTTTCTCATCCTCTCACCCTTATTGCCCACGGGCATCGATTTTGTCTATCGTAATTAAAAGCCAAATACAAATTTTACTTTTAATAAAAATACAAACAGGAACATCGGGGTTACGGGAGATTAAGATTTTAGATTCCGCTTTCTATTCATTTTTCCGTCAACATTTATTAATACATCTAGTATTGTCAATTTTCAGGAAATAACGTTACTTCATTTAAAATATTCCATTGTTTAAAAAAGGAGTATGTATTAAAACTAAATATTTTTAATGTATCTCCCGTATATTCTTGTGACACACATTTACATATATTGCGTAGCTATGTATACACAATACACTCACTATTTTTATTATTATTATTACTTATTTTATTTTTTATTCACTTTATTTTTCTCATAACTTTGCACTAATATTTTAAGACGAGCAACGATCGTTCCTTCGCGACGAGCTTTATGAAACCGTCAAACCGATCGCGATAAATTTTTTTTTTTTGGACGCGATAAAATTTCACCAAGTTTTCCAACTAAGTCGTAATTTACGATTCCGACCTTTATCCCAGACGACATTCTATTAAACGTCTCTTGACGTCCTATCTTTTTTACTCGCCGGTTTATCGACGCGTCGCGTAACGCGATGATCGTCCATTCTCTCTCGCAAAGAGCGCGATATTATATTTTTTATCCCGGTCATCGACATTGTCGTGTGTATCGCGGAGGGAGGGGGGGGGGGTTTATTGCCGTCGACAAATCGATCGTCATCGACGGAAGAGACGTAACTCAGCCGTCACAAAGTGGAACGAGCGCGTCGATCCGAGGTCGATAAACGCCGGCGCTTCGCGCTTCTCCTCCTCCGAGATGGTGGCGGCCTATTATGGCCAGAGCTCGAACCAAGAATGACGTATTTAATCGGATTAAGGTGAACCTCCTCGCGATCCGCCATCGTCTACTTTCCTCTCTCCGAGGTAGGAAGCGAGTAATCGACTTCCAAGAGCGACTTCACCCCTCGGTTTATTGCGGCGCATCTCGCGGGACGCCCCGCGTTGCGCTCCTCTTTACTTTCATCCTCTCCCGAGGGAACGGCCGATGGCTGTATCAGCTGTCGACATTCCTCGGCGAATTATTAGCGGTCCGGATATCGATGGTAATGTCAATAAGAAGCGATAAAGAGAGAGACGCCACGCGATTGATTGCGTTAGCCCGGTCAATCAAGGTCCGAATTTCTATATCGAAGATGAGAATGAAACCTTGGGAAGAATAAAAAGAATAGCCTGATAGATAAGCGGAGAAAGAGAGAGAGAGAGAGAGAATTAGCAATTAAGCGTTGAATTAAATTATATATTATTTTCTTCATTTATATCAACATTCCTAAGACTTTAAAATCTTACTGGCAGATATTTCAAATATTTTAGTTTCGATTTTTCTCTCAATTAAAATGTCCAGATACTAATGATTTTCGAGTTATGGTAGAAAACGAAAGCAACTTTGTGAATTAAACTTCTGTGAAGTAATTAAATGACAAAAGATCTTATTCATTTAATGCTTCTAATAAGCTTAATTTTAATTAAAGGTTTAATCGCTAAGCTTGAATTTAACCTTGAATGACTAAGAAGTTGCAATAATTGATGGCTTATCGTAAAATTTTCGGGGGAACTTTATGGCTCATATTAAAGATACATCATTTTGAAACAATTCTATATATGAATTTACATATTTATTAAATATTTTATTATATAAATAGATTAATTAGATAATTTTGAAATTAAATTTATTTAATGTATTTCAAATAAATTCTTATTAAAAATTATTTTTAAAGATAACATTATTATTTTTAAATTAATTTTACACGTAAAATAATTCCTGACCTAAAAAAATTATGTTATAAATGAAAGAAGTTTCTCTTTTAATAGAAAAACAACGAGCAAACTCAGTTAAAGATTAATATCCGTGATAATAAAGGGGTATTTCATGGTTTATCGTGCAAATGGGATAGTTGTAATAATAATCCTCTTTTTGCAACAGTGGGGAAAGTTATAGGCACTCTGACCTACAGATCTATAGACAGTTGACTTTGCGGAATTATCTGAACTCTGTAAAGAGGGTTTTGTCTCGTAATGAAAAAGGGAGTCCGCCGATAGCTGTGACCTTTATAAGGCTGATTATCTCAAAGAAACTCTCTTAATACGTTCGGCACACTATCGTGCATTTTTAAAACTGTCCGCTGCGCACCACGTTTCATTTTAAATAATTCTATCTCACTTTTTTAATTATTATAATTACATGCAAAAAATTAATTGAAAAAAAAATTATGCTGTCATATATGTGGCGGACTTTGACGGATTTACTGCAATCTGAAAATGATTTTCCGCAGAATTACTGTATCGCGTTCTACGATAATAAATTTCGTGAACGTTTCGCAAGATATTTCACTCCATTTAAATACTGCTAAAATTTTAAATTTTTAATTTCG